GTACCAGTATCACAGCCTGGATGTCTTGGGCTTCTTCCTCACTATAGTTCTACTCATCATATTCATCTTCATCAAGACCTGCAGTTTCTGTTTGCACAGGTGTTGTGTCAGGAAAGGAAAGACAAAAAAGAAGGCTGAATAACAGACTGAACAGAAACGGTGCTGTGAGTGTTGTGCCGGGGCAATATTTGTTACCTACATGAAACTTTCTTTCATATATGTTGAATTTCCCTTCATCTTCTCCTTTATGTATCACCACTAACTACATTAACAGATGCACCAATTTGCAGAAGTGTACCTGAAGTTAATCTGACATTAAAAACCAAATGCTGATTGGATGTTGAGTTTTGTTTAAAAAAACAAACAAACACAAATACACTACCATCAACTTATATATAGATGTGGATCATTTTTACATATAGAAATCACATTAACATTAATCACATAACAAAACACAAACTTCCCTCCATGTCCTGAAAGAGGTTTACACAAGCATATACATTTGAATAACATCTATTATCTATGTTTCTTCTTATTTATAAACAGTTTAGGAATTATATTATCCCAATCGTTTTTTCCCCATCTTCTTTGAACTTCCCCAGCATCAGCTCTATAAATACTGTAGCATCTACTGCAGTGTAATGGCCACAAATCTGGATTTGAAAAAGAATAGAAAAAGGTTTCTTTTTTAGGCCACTCACGTGTCAACCACCATCTTGTGAAGCAGCTGCAGTAAATTGGAAGATATCTGGTCACACCAAAATACACAACTGCTATAATTTTATTTCCAAAATATCTGATGTAATGTGGCTTTATTGTCATGTAATACCACTTAAATGGTGCACTGAGTCAACGTAGCATGTTCTCTGCCCTGAAAGATGTAGGCAATACAATGCAAAGCACTGGTGTCCTAGTCAATGGGACAGCAAACAGTGACTTGAACACCTTGAACATGGCTCTCATCACTACCAGATCCTCCCAGAAGATAACATGCTCACTTCCAAAGAAAATAACATTAGAGCAGCTTACAGCTCTTCAAGAGTAAAATGACTCAATGATACTCAATTAACACCATTTCTTGTGAACTGATAAGATAAGAGATGTTGTTGCCTATGATGACACGTAGGAATAGCAATCTGTTACTGACAGTTCAAATACATTTGCTAAGATAGCTTTTTGTGAAACGGTTTCATACAAACACAATTGCTATTTATGATTAGCTTAATTATGTCCGAGCAAACTGTGAATTTGTTTCTATTTCATGAAAGTGTTGCCACCTGGTGGTGAAAGTTTTAGGTTCATTTTTGCTGACGGTAATTACAAATAGCACACACATTGGTTCAGTTATGTGGATCTGGATGACACCTGGTGAAAATCAAATCTCAGGACTTACCACAATTCACTGATCACATTAACTCGGTGGACCAACATTTAAAATTCACCAGGTAGGATATGAAAAGTAGCAGGTTAGCTTTCCTAGACTGTGAGATTTCCATCAGTAATGGGGGGCATTGAAAAGTTGATGTGTACCATAAACCTATCCATACTGATCAGTATTTAAGCTTTGACGCTCATCATCCATTGGAGCATAAACTGGGTGTCATCAGGACGGTACAACACAGAGCAAACACCATCCCCACAGACACAGCGGCCAGGGAAGCAGAAGAACATCACATCAAGAAGACCCTGAGTAAATGTGGTTATCCCAGCTGGGCATTTCTCAAAGCTGGGAAGGCGCCTCAAGAAAGCTCCAGCCAATAAAGGAGAGATGGTCAACTGCTGCCTAACCAAAAACCCTTAGTGATCCCTTAGGATCCTTAGTGTATCCAGGAGTATTGGAACAGTTGAGACGCGATTTTCTTCTAGACACCGCGTCTCTGTGGCTTTTAAACCCCAAAACACGCTGTGCCAAAAAATTGGTCCACCCAAGGATTGGGTCCCCCGACACAAACAGAGTAATGTAGTGTACGCTGTGTAGTGTACGCTGTGTAGTTAGTTTATACATCAGAGAAACCAAACAACCTCCAACTGTAGCCAATCCCCAACTCTCTGTGAATGGTACTCTTGGCCATTGGTCAATGGTCATTAGAGGATCAATAGGGTGCCCATGACCCTCTAGGGGACACTCCCACAGGGCTTAAAATCTGGGACTCTCCACCAATTGTTCTTACAACTGAAGAAGCTTCTTGGATGAGAGATGAAACATCTTCAAGGAAACTTAAAGAAGTTTAGACACTTTTCCTTGATTTCAGTCATTGTGCAAATGTACTGTTTATAAGATCGGGGAAACCTGCAGTCAACTGAGACTGAAGAAATCACTTGGATGAGTGACGAAACGTTTCTCCCACTGAAAATGACACGTCCAGATGAACAGAATCAACCTTTTGGATTTTACTTACCTGGATGATTGAGCATGCACCAAGATACAAATTAAGCAATTAAGATACTCTATCTTGCCAAATGTATTTGCATTATTTTCCATCTGCCTTCAAATGTATATGAACTTGAGTGACATCTCATTCTTCATGCCGCAGGGTCAGTTGTTTGGACCCAGTCTTCTGTCCATTGCAGGCACTGTGGCACATCTTTTTGAAAATGTCAGGGTGCTTCAAGATTTTTGGGGGGCAGCTATATTGGCATTTCATCACCATGTCGAAGGCAGGCGACTTGGCGCTCTTTTTTGGGTAATGGAATTTCAGTTCCCATTAGAACTGAATCTCTTGGGCAGAACCAGATCTAGCTGCAGTCAATGTAAGGGTGATAATGTGGGCTGTCTAACTGCAGTCTTGGGAAGTGATTTGGTGGACTATCACTACAGCGACAACGATGACAAGCCAGCTGGAAAAACACAAAATGGGGCTAACAGCCATTCATATACCTAAATCTTAAATTCTCTGTGTGGGAAACACTGATTTTTTTGTTTTGTACATCTCCAAAACATAACTTCTAACCTAACTGATTTGCTTGGTTTTGTTCAGTTGAGTTGCAAATAATTCAGTTCAAATAATGATACTCAACAATGATTGCGCTTAATTGTCTAAAGCTGATGTATGAATGTACTGAAAAATATTGTTAAAGTTAAAATACTTAAGAGTAATAAACTAGTACAGTTTATGAACATTTTACTGATGGGCTTTTTTAGACAGAGGATTTAATTATTTCTGACATTTCTGAATTGGATTAAAAAGTTATAATCAGAAAACACTGTTTTAATGTTCTCCAGTGTGAGCATCTCTAATCTGAACTAATATCAGCCTTCACGGATAGCAAACGGCTCTTTGACACCGGTCATTGAGAGTTACTATTAAACCCCATTCCACATTTAACTTTCAAAGTAGCATTGCAAATATCATCAAAGGCAAATTTGCAATAAGAAAACCCTGAGCTTTTGTAGAGCCATGAATATGTTACTCAGCTACATTTCATCTTGAAAGGATCTGCTCAAAAATCAGCCACTACGAACGGATCCAACACAGATCCAGACCAGATGAGCTGTGAAATGATTTGTTCCACACAATGACTCCACACATCTGCGATCATGATCCTTCCCGCTGTGCAAGTGGACCCGGTGTTACGGATCCGGTATTGAGCCTGTGGTACATCCGGGGCGGGTCCGGTCCGGATCAGTCAGGGAAGTTTTAGCGGATTCAGGCCAGTGTTGCCAACTTACCGACTTTGTCGCTATATTTAGCGAGTTTTCAGACCCCCTTAGCGACAAATCTGGCGACT